GTCTATAATAATTATTTAGGATATGAAATCATATCCTAATATATATTTTTAAATTACAACATCATGATAAAATGTAAGGATTTGATAATTAGGCATTGTTTTTATCTTTAAAATTTATTGTCTATAATAATTAGTAAACAGACTGGACTTTAAATTGAACAAAGTCCCCATTATGGGCCAACATTGAATTACACTTAGGCCGATCCAGAATTATAAGCCAGTATAGGCATTCATTTTAATACATACTATTATCAAACTCAAATTGTATCAAATTGTTTACTTTTTTTGGGTTTTATATGTAATTTTTAGACTTTCGAGGTGGTTGTTTGTATTTTTAAAATTTAAAAGTACTTGTTTTTAACTTTCAGCTTTTACATGGATGTAACATTCAAAAAATTTAGATCATTGTTTGTAATTTTTGAATTTTTTTTGGTTTTGCATGCAATTTTTAGATTTTTTAGAGGGCTTTTTTTTACAATTTTAGATTTAGGGGATTGTTTGTAAATTTCATATTTTCAAAAAAAAATTTGTAAGTTTTAGAACTACCAAAAGTACATTGAAAATATAAGGATTGCAAATAACCCCCTAAAAATTTAGAATTTGTATAAAACATCTTGAAAGTTTTAAAATTCGAGAGTACACCCTAAAAATTCAAATTCACAAAAAAACACCCTAAAATCAAAGATATAAGCAATACATTGAAAATCTATAAATTTGAATTTTTCAAAAAACACCCTAAATGTTAAGAAAATTACAATAATACCTTACATTTTAAAAAATTAATAGGGACTTTTTGCAAATCTTTGTGTAATATTTGAAAGTTTAAAAATTTTCACCATATATTTATAATTTTTTGAATTTCTAGAGTGTTTCTATAATTTTTAAAACTTTTGAGGGTATTTTTTTAGTTTAATATTTTTAGGGTGTTTCAACGTAATGCATAGATATGTCAAGCAATGGTGAAATTCTTTAAAAGAAAGTGATTCTTAAGACGGAACAATTATAGAAGTATGCATATCAATTATTATAGGTAGTACTTTATGCATGCCAAAATTTTTAGATAATCTATATAGTAGTATGACCTTATGTGGAGATGGATTAAGCTAACACGTTTAGAGAAGGAAACCGAGTTAAACCATTTGCAACATGCAAAAAATACCTTGAAAGGTTTACAAATTGTAAAAGAACAAGCCAAAGTCAAAATTTATAAACAAAATGCCTTGACAATTTCAAATCTACAAACAATACACTGAAAAATATAGGAATTACAAACAATCTCTGAAAAAAATTTAGAATTTGTAGAAAACATCTTGAAAGTTTTAAACATTATGAAAAGCACCCTAAATGTTCTAAAACTTTATAAAATAATCAAGATACAAAAAGGTATTTTGAAAAATCTATAAATTTAAAATTTATAGAAAACACCGTGAAAGTCTAGAAAATTGTAAAAAGCACCCTTAAAATTTTAATTTTAAAAGTCTAGAAAATCGTAAAAAGCACCCTTAAAATTAGGGGCATTTTCACAATTGTTTAATTTCCAGTGCAATGTTTGAAAATTTTTGAAAAATTTCAATATGTATTTGCAATTTTCAAAACTCTTGAGTTTTTTTAGTTTTATAAACTTTCACGGTGTTTTCAGTGTAATGCATAGATATATTAAGCAATGATGAAAATATCTAATAAGTCGATGTGGTTTTGAGAACATATTAGACCATGGTTATGGAAGTATATGCACATCCATAACCCTGTCGAGTTCATTGTGAACGGTTAAAATGTATTTTCACCCTGACCAATGATCAACTTGATCTAAGAAGTGAATGCCCATGGACTAAACATTTTAAATGGGCATAAAACTGAGCCCACAATAAGCTATAGCGAAGATCACCTAACCAAGTAAGCGAACTTCGCTAAATAGCCCAACTCGACTCGACTCGACCAAATCAAGAGCGAGTTAATTCCTAAAGCACGCCCCGGACCGAGTCAAAAGGCTTTATCAGTCTACCAAACCATGAGTCGAATTTTGTGTCAAATTTGAACTTATAGACGAAGTCCGCCAATGAATGAACTTCGCTCATAACAACCCAAGTGGACCAAGTCATACACACTTTCGGTGAACCTTGCTCAAATATCTTCATCAGCAAACCTCGCCTAAACATCTTCAGCAGGGAACATTGCCCAAATGTCGTCATCAACGAACTTCGCCCAAACATCTTCCGCAACAAACTTCGCCCAAACATCTTCAGCAATGAACTTCGCCCAAACATCTTTGGCGAGCTTCGCCCAAATGTCCTTGGCGAGCTTCGCCAAGTCAGCGAACCTTGTCTAATAGTCGTTCGAGGGCTATTTTTAAGGGATAACCGCCCCCCCACTATCTCCTATTTTAATAGCCACTTAATCTATAATTAAATGCCAACTCTCTCTCTCTCTCTTGCCTATAAAAGGAAGGGAGATCATTCATTTTTCATCATCATTGAAGAAGATCTACAGATTTAGACACATGCATAGAGAGATCTAGTATCGCACTTGTGATTCTATTGAGTAGAAGTGCTAAGAGAAGACTGAGCTATCTTCCTCATCAATGAACTCTCATCAACAGCAAAAGATTCGTCGTCTTAGTCGGTGCGTCAACAGAGTACAAAATCAATGTTCTATCGGCACATAGAAAAGAAATCTAGGAAATATAATTTTTTTCTTTGTTTTACACTCTTTTTATTGTAATCTGAGTTAATTGAAATTTAAAAAGACCCAAAACATTCATCATAGATAAATTAGCTTGCAATTAAACACAAATCCAAAGGAAACAATCGGGATGTTTGACCACGTGCATGTGCAACCAAACTAGTTTACATAGAAAATAGAGAGTTCTAGTCTCTTAAAATTGTCCAAGTTTAAAACTAGAACTATGTGGCAAAAAGCTAGAGCTTTGTTATTTGCTTTTTTATTTTTCATATTTTAATTTTCTATCCTTTTCAAACCACATCTCTTACCCTTCTATTTAACATTATTTTCATTTTTGTTAAATATTAGAATTGTATAATTAATTAATTTAAAAATTATAAAATTTATGTCTTGTTAAAAAATTAATTAAAATTGAGAGATGATGGAAAAGATGTCTAGCAGATCAAAAAATAAAGAGAAAAAAGGAAAATTTTGTTTTTAAAGATTTGTATTACAATAATAATTCTAAAAAAATTTAAAAATTATAAACATTGTTATAAATAGCGGTAAATAGCCCCACAATAGCGGTGCTAATAACATTAGCGGTCCCTTCCCGCGACGCTATCGCCCGCTACGCTATCGCGCAATAGCGATGACATATTGCGGAATATGTCTGTTCGCAAAAGCGGCCAATAGTGTGTCATAACGGTAAATAGTGAGCGATTGCATTCGACATTTGCTTTTCGACTGCTATTTAAAAGTGGTTTGAGGCTTATTTTTTTAAAATTAAACTCAACCCTTGACCATTGCATTCCACCGTCTCCTGTAATTTTTAGCATACTCCCGCCACCTCTCATAGCCTCTGACACCTACATTGATACTTCCTCTAACCTCCTTCACCGTGAGCTCCTCTTAGGACAGTCCTGTCATCGCTAAGCTCTTCTGCTCGAAGACGACGACTTTTTGACTCATCCAGTCATCTTCGATATTACGTGATGGTTATATGTCTATTTCATGTTTATGATCTCTTTAAATCATCCAATATGTACTTTTAGATTTCTTAGATTTTTCTTTAATTTTTTTAGCATTTATATATATCTAAATTAGACCGCTATTTGACTTTATACTTTTTACTGTTATTTTGCCTCAATAGCCCGAAATAGCCTTAGCGATGCCTCACCGCTATGCGGCGCTATCCGCTATCAATAACCTTGAATATAAATTATTATTATGATAATATCTTATAGTCTATCCAATATTTCTTCAAGATTAGTTAATACCAAAGTAAATAATTATTATTAATAATAGTAAATTTCAAAATATATAAATAGTAGTCTTATGATCTAAATGCATAACTTATATGCTTCTCAATTATTGCAAATTGTCCCTAATTATATTCAAAATTGTCTCACTAGAGTATCCTGTTTCAAAATATTATTCTCAATTATTCCACTAAAATATTTCATTTCAAAAAATTATCACATACTAAAAACTGTTCCACTACTAACAAAAAATATTCCAATTGGATAACATCCCCTCACTACATTTAATGTTGCTCCTAGCTTATTGGATATAATTTTGAACAACAAGAGATCCTAGTTTAAAATTCAAACCTCATTTAAGATTTTTTTAAAAAAAAAACTTACTATCCTTGCATATAAACTTAAAAGAATATACGTTATATCCAAATTTACAAATGCATCCAACAAGTACACAACTTAGATTTATATATTACCTCCGAGAGAAAGAAAAAAACTTACATTTTGTACGAGGTTTACTTTTAGAAGCCAATTAAAAAAACATAATTATACATAAACCAACTTTATTTTCAATGTATATGTAAACTATCTTTAGAGTGGTTTTTGTTCCAATGAACTAACTCCCGGTCAAAAAATTTACTGAAATCCAAAAATATTTTTAAAAAAATCCACATTCAAGACACGTGACTCACTTTGTTAATATTTAAGTTTAATTAGTATATAAATTACATACACTAAAAATGCAAAAAATTAAGTTTATTTTTAGCTTTTTTAGTAAAATCTGACTCATAATGGTAACAGTTGGTTGAACGGAACAAAAACACATTTTAAAAATGGTTTATTTACATACAAATTAAGAATGAACCCTATTTTTAATGTGGTTTAAGTACCTTTTATATGCTCATGCATTCCCACTGCCCTGTACCGTGGAGGTTTAATTTCGGACTTAAAAGAAATTAAAAACTTTGATTATTTATTTATTTATTTATCTTGGGGTTTAAACCTTATTAACTGAACAAGTACATTCCTACACGGGTTCGGGTAGCTTTAGGTTGTAACAGGCCCGTTGACCCGATTGCTTAGGATTTTAATTCCGAATCGAAGCTAAACCTAGCTCCTCAAGCGTTCCCCAGCTCACCATCGCCAACACCGGCGCCGGCGACTACTGCAACGGCACCGGGAAAATTAGGCTAAAGCATCGACGCCTTGGAGAGGTATTTTATTCTATTTTTCTTTTTTGGCCTTGTAGACTTTTGAATAATAGAATTTTATATTTTTATTGAGATGGTCTGGGTTGAATTCGGTGCATAAAATCTTTTCCGCGGTAGATTCGTCATGAAATCATACGAAAGCTTACTGGTATCTTATAAAGATGGGTCTATATATGTTCAATCAATCAGATTCGTACAGTTCGCATAAGTTAATTTAAGTTTTTTTTTAAAAATTAAGTTCACAAATCTGTAAAATCAAACTATAGAGCCAATAAGATGAGTTTTTCTAACCCCTGGAATAGACATTGTCCTGACTTGCCATAGGTTCTTGACCCAGACTCATGCATCAAATTGTCTACAGGTAAAATTTGGTGTGTTTTCATGGAGCCTTAGATAAATGTGCACGTACATATACAAGTACACATGGTTCCTTTAATAAAGATCTTCCTTAGATAAATTAAAACGTTGAGATGAACGATGAACGATCACCACAAGGAGATAGGATAAGGATAGGTGTATTCATGAAGAGGTAGACATAGGACTCTGTTTGAGGATAATGTGAGGGTGGACAAATTTTTTGGGCATCAATTAGAAGAAGTACTGAAGTAGAATTGTAGTTAATGAAGAACTCACTGGATTCGTGTTGAATCCATCATCTCAAGCGTTAAGAAGCATAATCGAAGTCATGATGAGTTCTTTTATCCAGTTATAAGCAGGGATAGATTCATGAATTCTTGGAAGTGGTGTCACTATGTAATTAATAATTAATAAATTTATAATTTTCTTTGATTAGTTAAATTTTTTTCTCGATGTTAGTCCCTTGAATATTCCATATTTCAAATTAGACCCTCAACTAAATGAAATAGCTATAGGTCCCTTAGCTTTTAAGTTATTTTGAAATTAGTCCATCACATCATTGAAATTACTATTAGGTCTCCCAATTCTTAAGTTAGTTCGAAATTAGTTTCTCTAACCAAGAGCAGATGTAGCAATTTGTCCCTCAAATCATCAAAATTTTCATTAGATTTCCTAAGGCTCATAAATTGTTTCAAACACTTTAATTAATTAATTTACTATTGATTTGAGGGACAAATTTTAAGTATAACTTAAGATTTTGGGGACTTGAGAGAAATTTTAAAGATTTGGGGGACTAATTTCAATATAACTGAATAATTGGGAGACCTAATAGCAATTCCTATGATCTGAGGGACTAATTTCAAAATATGAAAAAAGATTTAAGGGACTAATATTGAGAAAATACTAAACACTATGGATTCTTAGTGGGGGTCATAAGTTTGGTAATGGAGTGGGCTTTTTAGATGGGTGACTTTTAAGTAGCGCGGGGGTTGGATGGAAACTTGGGTCAAGATCTCTTAGTTGTTTTAATGGCGTCACAAATTTGCTTGTGTGATGACAATTTTAGATTATGTGGTGTGCGGCCCTAGTTTTATCTTGGCAAAATGGGGTCACTTGACCATACTTTGCCTAAAGTGGATCCGCCAATGGTTATAGGAGGACGCAAGTTGCTTGTCTATATATAGCGTCAATATATGCAATAGTTAGATATGATTTGCATACGCGGTAAAGTGTTTGAAATTTGAAATTGTGATCTGTAGTTTAATGAACCTAAGTAAGTATCATTATTTTGAAATGTGACCACTGGATATATGGCCCTTCACCGCAATCAAAAACATAATATTCCACTTGTGGTGGTGAGACATTTTGGCTTTATCTGGTATCCCATGGCACAAACACAAATTTTCTGTTATGAACTCATCAGAACGACACACAGAAAAATCTAAAATATATGCATGATGTGTCCTTAAATGTGCATGTCTGACATGTGCTTAGCACGACTTGGCTTCAAGATAGAAGTTTAGCTTGTATCTCATCTACAAAAATGCAAAGCGCATACTGTTATAGGAGAAATTTCCTTGATGGCAGTAAAACCTCCACTATCCATTTCCTATTGGGTGATTAACATCTTTCATTTTGATGTCCATTTCTTACAGCCACCAAAGATCCTATAAAATTTCATATTATTTGAACTTGCGACTAGTGATTACGATGATAGATTTTGATGATATAAACTATTTCATATTATTTGATGATTAACATCTTTCATTTTGATGTCCATTTGTTACAGCCACCAAAGATCCTACATTAACTGTTTGGTTGGTTTAAAAAAAAGAAAATTTATTATGGGAAACCTATTTTCTATAGTATGCTCTTTTCTTTTGTTTGGTTCACCTCCTAAAAGTAAGAAAAGAAGAGATGAGATGAGTCGTCATCATCTTATTGGTGAATGTGACATAAATTTAAAGAAACCCATTTCATGATTTTTTAAAGGAAATGGACGAAAGACAAGTTTTAGTGATATACTTATCCTATTTCTTTTTCTTTGATTCTAAAAAATCAACCAAACAACCCCTTAACATATCAATGCGTTAGGACATCTGATACACGGGTATGAATTTTGGGTTGCCGTACGTGTACCTGACCGGTTTCGGTTACGGGTACGCTCCCGATACACGTGGGACACGATTGTTCCAGTTTCTGTCTCAATTGACCAGGAAAGAAATAAAAAAATTAGGTTCTTTTCTTATCGGGCTTTAACAAACGGTTCATTTTTAACCTGTTAACCCAATACCCGCATATTACAATTTAGGATAATGACATCTATATCCTAGTTTCTCTCAAAACGCTCGCCTTTCTCTTGTAACTAGATTTTATGCACGTGCAATGCACGTGGTTAAATACCGTGATTAGTTATTTTTGGTTTATTTTCTTACTAAAATTTGTTCCTCGGTTACTCTTTGATAATTTTTGCTCACTTTGATTAAGTATTTTTGGTTTATTTTCTTACTAAAATTTGTTCCTCGATTACACTTTGATTATTTATTTATTTAAAGTTTGTTTGAATATGCTACACCCAGTTTAAATTTTTATGTTAATAGTTGAGTTGTTAGGAGATAAATATAATTTAAAGCCAATTTAAATTTTTATTTCATTTGGATCGGCGTGAAACCAAGCTTGATTTGAGGAAGTATAGTGTTATGAAAGTGAAAACATTTGAAAAAATAACATTATAAAAGGAATATGAATAATAAAACTAACGAGCCAAGATGATTGATTTAAAGTGGGCTAAAATGACAGAAAATAGTTAATAAAAAAATCATAAACTGAAGATTAATGATAACTCTAGTACACTTTTATATGATAAAAGCATCCACATATGCATATGAAAACACTAAAATTAGTTTATGAAAATCGCTTCTAAAGATTCCAAATTTTACTAAAAAAAATAAAACTATTCTATAACAATTCACAAAACTTTATCTTTTGTTGTTTCTATTTTATTTTTTATTGAGTCGAGATCAATCCTTCTTCATCTTTATCTTTTTCCTGGGCAATTCTAGTTTATTTTTTATTGAGTCGAGATCAATCCTTCTTCATCTTTATCTTTTTCCTGGGCAATTCTAGAGTAGTGTTTTCATCGTCTACATTGAGATCAATCCTTCTTCATCTTTATCTTTTTCCTGGGCAATTCTAGAGTAGTGTTTTCATCGTCTACATTAATTATGATATGAGACTGGCCGGAGCATGATATCTTTCCTTGAGCTCATTCATCTTTTGACTTCTCATCTAAATTCACAAAGAAGTTGAATATATTTTTTATGTTCAACACAAACTTTTGACAATACAGACTTTGATTTTTTCCTATTTCAATAAGAATAAATGTTAATTTCATATACATGATTTTTTTATGCTTTTAATTTATTACTTAAATAAGGTTGGGAGTTCTTTTTTTGTCTACAATGAATTTTTCTGTTGTACATTCAATAAGAATTTTTGTTGTGTTATAGTGTTACATTTGCTCTGTGTCATTTTCCATAAGGATATGAACTAAATACATTATATTTTTCATAGTCAATTTGCTTTAGATTATAATATTAATATTTTGATATATTTATTTTATGAAGAAGGGATATCACTTAACCTTGATACTACATCATCGACGATTTTATAACATTTATCATCTGGACACTTATTATTAACATCTCTATCCATTTTCTTGTTGCAACCTTTGCAAACATAGAACCACTGCTCAACTCTATGATAAATGATATTTAACGTTGCCTTAAATGTGCAATAGTGTGTCTGTATATTGATAAATTATTCTTAGGTATAATTGTATGAATTTTATAGCATGTTTTCTAAGATCATATCTCTTTCGAATGTTATAATGATTGTATATATTAGTAATTTGAATTTCTGCTGCATTTATAACGATTCTTAATAGAGATGCTTTTGTCTTGACAACTTACTCTAAAAGAGTGCTGCATATTAGCTTTAAAATGTAATATTTTTTCTTTACGGTGTTATATGGATGTTTGCTTGGTTTACTAACTATTCTCTTATTTCTTCAGTAAGTTGTATCTTTGGATTGATATATATTATTGACGTAATTTACGATGACATGCATATCTCCTCTATAAAATTAAGACAGATATAAGATGAATTTTATATTTAGTGGGCTTTAATAAGAATTTTAGTAATAAAATATACTACCTTCATATTTAGAGATCTTGAATTCTAATAGTGCTATTACATTATTATATTTGATCGTGTCTTTAAGAATTGATCATTCGTTAGTAGTCATACCCCTAAATAAAGTCACAAGCAGGGTCGTGATACTATATAAGAAAAAGAAAAAGGGTGATTTTATATTTTTTGTTTACGCAGAGTCATGACATAGTAATTTTTTTATCTTCCATGAAGAAACTCCATTTGAAGTAAAAATCACTTGATTCTTTTGAATGATATCTCTAAATTTTTTAATAGTGCTCCATATATATATCTTGAAATTTTTTTACACTATAAATACTATTACCATTAGAGATCAATATTTATAAATTATAATCAATTAATGTTAAATCATTATTATTATAGTCTTATTAATTTTTTGTAATTTAGTCTTCTATCAATTAATGATACTTATA